CCCGCTGACCAGCAGCCGTCACTGAGTGACCCTGTAACATTATCAAACACTGGCCTGCTCTGGGGCTGGTCCAGACAGGGGCAGCTACTGGACAGGGGCCGGACAGATATGGGACAGCGGCGGGCGAGGGGGAGGGCAGGGAGGGGGGAAAGGGGTCTTGCTGGAGGCGTCCACAGGGCGGCCCGTGTCACGCCGAGATAAGCGCCAGTTCTCAGGCCTATTCACCTCATTCAGAGAGAGAATGGGGAGAGAGGAAGAGATTCTTTTTATCGTCTTTTTTGGCGAGGGCGGTGGAAGGCGAAAATTGTTGTGCGCGGTATAGTCCGTATATACAAACGGGGACTGCGCCAGTTCAGGTGCGGCCTCAGCGGAGGTGTCCCGAGACGACCGAGAAAGAAACCCGATTTCCGAGGTTGGCTCGAATCCCCGCGGCCTCGGCCCCTTGAAAGCAGGTGAAAATCTCGATACATTCCCCCTTTTCTTTTATTCGAACCAGCTGGCGAGCTTTCTGCGACGCGCACTAACGCTACCGGGCCTTTCCTGAGCACTCTTCGTGCTCAGAAATCTCAAAGTCCAATTCCTTTCGTCGTTGCACAAGAAGAGGTCTGACCGCAAAGTAATGTTGCCCACAGAGGAATGCTCGGGCGTGGTGTGTGTGAGGGTCGCCACAATGCAACCCGGCCCCGACTCCGTCGCCCCTTGACAATGCTAAATGCAATATATATGTCGGGGGCGGCTCGCGTCGGCAGCAGCGTGACGCGGGCATCCCAGGCGGGCGGTCGCCTCGGCCGCTCCCCCGCGCGCCCAGAACCGAAACTGCTGCAGCTCACCGACGGCTTGCACAAAAGGGGGGCCCACCACGCGGGGGAAGACGCGGATCTCATCGCCTGTCGCTCAGCAGAACCTCTGGAGAATCCTGATTTTTATTTTTTCCTCGCCCTCCTCCTGGATGCAGAGAATCTGAGTAATCCGACGGGGGGAGAGGCCCGCTGCTGCTGTAGGACTGGTTGAGGTGAGGGGGAGATGGGGGAAGGACGGGGTGGCGGAGGAAGCCCACCACCAGCGCCGGGCAGCGCGGCAGTTCAGAGTCGGAGAGCTTTCCAATCAAGATTATCGGTGGGGTTTAGGGGAGGGGGTTGGCTAGGGGGGCGGGAAAGGGGTAGGGATAGGGGTAGCAGCAGCAGCATTTCGCGAGTCCGCTGCGGGACAAGCAGCGCAGCGGGCTCCCCCTCCCCTCGCTCCCCCCCTGCCCCGGAGGCGAGGCGGGGGTGGGTGGACGACTGCTGCCCCATAAAATGCCTTATCTGCAGTCGCTCGTCGAGGAGATCGGCAGCAGTGCTTGTAGCGGCAGCGGAGACCAGCATTAGGGGCGAGTTGGGGCGGGGGGTGCGGTGTG